GTTCACTACACAGGGCCAGGTGAGAGCAGGGCAGGAGGTTTGTGCTCACGGAGCTGCCCTTGCAGGGAGGGGCAGAAAGGGCTCCGGGCTTCTCCAGAGGAAACCTCCTGAGTGTGAGATCCATCCCGGCTGAGTCCACTTCTCCCACAGGCAGTGCCCTGGAGCCGGTGGCCAAGGCTGCCTCCTCCAGCCCTAGGGCTACTCTGGGGCCAGGGTAGAGCTTCTGCCCCAAACCTCCATCTCAGCCTCTGTCCTCACCCAGGCCATGAGGAAAACACATACTGGTGCCTTCAGAATATGCTCAGAGTCTTAAAGGACTTTCCCTTTCCTGATTCTGCCCCCTCAGAGATGAGAAAATTGGCACAGAATCAAGCAGGAATGGCCTCTGTTGGGGACTGAGTAGCTGGGTTTTAATTTTCTCTTTAGGAATTTTCCCCAGTACGTGTTGCTAGCACACGGAAATGACTGATACTTCAGAGAGGAGAAAGAAGTTGTCAGCTCAGGGGAGCGGTGCCGCTGGCTACTCTGGCTTTACCTGAGGTTTCCGTGGAGGGCAGAGATACCTCGAGCTTTGGATTGGGAAAACGGCGTTGGGTTCAGCCTCTCGTGCTCCCGACATTCGGAGGGGAGAGAGGCTGCGGCCGCTGTGGGGAGAATTCGTCAGCACTGCGGGGTTCTGCCTTCTGCTGCCTTTCTTCTCCCTTGATTGGAGCTCTGCTCGTTAGACTGCGGCGGGTTTTTTCCCAAGCTACGTAAAAAGAATAATAGCACGTACCCAAAGAAGAAGTTAAAAGACAGATCACCTGTAATACTGAAGCATTCAGCAAATATGCCCACCAGACACACCTTTAGATGAAATCCAGGACTAAAAAGGAATTCCAGGAGAAGGCAAATACAGGAAAATTAGTTCAAGGAAAGCCGTGTTTGTGTATGACATAGGAGGCACATTGTAATGAATCTGTATGTTCAGGGTGGAATAAATATCCTGTTGTGAACTTTCACCAGACACATCAGGTTCAAAGAGACACTCTTCTGTGTGTCCGACGCTGATAAAGAATCTCTGCTTTCTAATGCTTCAAGTGAACAAAAACATTTATTCTACAGCTACTATCCTAATATGAATGTTTTATCCTCTACCTAAGTTTCTACAACTATATGCTTCCCCTCCCACAGCTCCCACTCCCCAAGTCTTGAAGTTATGTACAAATGGGCCGAAGGAAGCAGACGAGGCCCTTCTCAGCAGCCTGGATTTCAGTTCCGAGGGGCCCTGGAGGATCCACATCACTCAGATGACGGGCGGGCGGTGCTGGTTGTCCCCTGCGGGCATCGCTGCATCTCC